ACATCCACAACCTGTAGTACATCCACAACCTGTAGTACATCCACAACCTGTAGTACATCCACAACCTGTAGTACATCCACAAACTGTAGTACATCCACAAACTGTACTACATCCACAACCTGTAGTACATCCACAACCTGTAGTACATCCACAAACTGTAGTACATCCACAAACTGTACTACATCCACAAACTGTAGTACATCCACAAACTGTAGTACATCCACAAACTGTAGTACACCCACAAACTGTAGTATATCCACAAACTGTGGTACATCCACAAACTGTGGTACGTCCACAGCAGTGGACAACAACAGGTCCTCTGATGTGTCCTCCACAGGATCTCAGGTTTGGTTCCACCTTCATGTCTAACACCAGCCTGGTGGAGAAGAGTGTCTGCAGCTGGACATTACTTCACTTCAACACTTCAGGTTTCTGTAAATTCCTCTTTTTAAGGAGAAGAGTTGAATGGTCAGGATCCAGGTTGGTGTGACTTGTCCTGCTGTACTTTACAAAGTAATGTCTCTTTACTTCTGAAGCGTACAGTGCGTGGGACATCAACATTTTCTAATAAACCTGAAGGAACTTTTGGAAAGGGAACATTGATAACACGTTACAAAAACCTTTCATGCCACTGAGATGAACAGCTAATGAGGATACTGCATGTGGACTAACAGGAAGTGATGTCAAAGGGGAATGTAAACAGTTTTACCATGAGGAATGGGCCAGACATGGTTTCATGGTTATAAGAAAAATCATGGTTTCAAAACCACTAAATTTTTCTGTCCTGTTGCTACAGTCTAAGTGTTTTAAGTTTATTTTCCACCACTCTGTGCCACTGCAGACCCCTACCCAAGGACTGTGGGCCTGTTGGCACTCGCAGCTGTGCAGGTTGTGTGATGGTTGAAGGAAGTGAGTTCCCCAAACTTTTTCCTGTCTAAAAGAATAAAGCCAGCTTTGAAACAACTCAGGATGCCCTAAAAACATGGCTGGCAGCGTTTTGAGGACCGTGGAGGTAACACATGTAACCTGATCGCTGCAGCAGGTAAAGGTGCTGCTGTTCTGTAATGAATTAGCTAACGTTAGCATCATTGTGAAACATGTCACAGTGTTGCTGTGACRTTGTTTTGGACTTGTTGGGTTGTGTATTTGATAAGTTTTAAGTGAAAGGTGATCAAATTGAATACCTCCATAGTTTTATCTGAGCAGCTCATTAGCTGAACGTGTTTCATAAACATGTTTATTATTATAGGTTGTGATTCTGTCATTTCTGTGTTATTATATCATCTTTACGTCAAACACCCTTTGTCATTTAAAACACAATAAAAACTCCCAACGTGATACTTTACTTCAATCAAAAGACTTGTTGTGCAGTGTACACTGATTTATCTCAACTAATAAAGCAACAGAAAAGCAGTTATCTTACTAGATGTAAACTTTATCAGGATAAACTAAGTCATTAGGTGTTAACAATCATAAGTACAGATRCACACAGGTAAATAACATTTCAGTGTAACACCTGTGAGGTCTAAAAACAGCTTCCAAAGATAATGAAAGTTGAATATAATAACAGAAAAGTTATTTTCTTTTTTGTTTTTAATGCAAATTTCAAAACAAAGTTTTTAAGCTGTAATCATAATCCTGTCATTCTGTGAAACTGATATTTCTGCACAAGTTTATCAAACTGTTATAATTTCATAGTGTCTCATGTCTGCCACAGGCTGACAGACTGAAGACTGATGTTTCTTTAGTTTCAGTCACTATCAGACAGATGAAGATTAGCAGAGGTCACATTATATTGTTTTAATAAACAAAGAGCAGAGAGTTCACTTTCTTTACAGTTCCTCTTTGATGTCACTTCCTGTTTCATTTTGGCTGAGCCCAGTTCAAAGGAAGTCAGGACAGGTTTGTAAAAAGATCAAGTTTTATCTTTGAAGGATGTGCAGGTCACAGGAACTTTTAGAACTTAATTAAGATGGAGGGTGGGGGCGTGTCCTCTGACCAACCTGCTTGGTCAACCTGAAGGTTGGTCACATCATCAATAACTCATGTGATGGCAATGACCTAAAGTTACCACAAAATGGTACTAAGAAACAGTTTAATACAGGGTAAACTCAGGAAATAACCTGAACCATAAACACACTGGATTATGGTCTAGTTAGAAATCAAACAGAGTTAAATTAAACCTGCACAGCAGATCTAAGAGCTSCTTTTCAGATTTTAATTTAAGCTGACCTCACATTTAATCTGAAAGTCAAGATTTATGTCTGCTGTAGTTTTACTGGTCCTCCCACAGAACGACCCGCCCTGCTCTGATTGGACCAAACCTCGACTCTGGTTCTCTCTACTGGACCACAGCTCATTCTGGTTAATCCTGAAGGCTTTAACAAGTTTTTTCTTCATTTCGTTTACAAATGAAGAACACACATCACAGCCCAGGGGTCAGATTTATAAAACTGGCGTACGCACAATTTGAGCCCAGAAACTGGCGTACGCACAATTTGAGCCCAGAAACTGGCGTACGCACAATTTGAGCCCAGAAACTGGCGTACGCAC